GACGTTCCATGAGGCACGCCATAGAATATCACTGTCTCAGATGTCTTTAAAGATGACCATCCACTTCTCCTCAATGAAACCTCCAGGCCACTCCCGAGAAATGAAATCCTTCAACGGTGAAAAACCTTCTAAGAAGACTCGACTAGGTGTCCTCTCGGTGTGTTTGAAATGACTAAGGATCCAGGTTAGCAACAATGGTGCACAACCTATGAAACATCATTCTCCTTCTTGTCGGCAAGAGCTCAGGGAATGAAACGTTTCTGCCAGGATAGCTGGAACAGGATCCACATGTCTATCCAGTCTTTCGAACAAGTCCACCACTGATACATCAACATGCCCGAGAACTCTCGGGAAAATAACCAATCCATAGATACCTAGAGAAAACAAGTCGATCCTCTTTCTTCTGTTAAGATGACGGTCAATCCGTTCTCTTAGAAGGGTCTAATTGAAGCATTCGATGTCTCCTTTCTTTTTTATGCCTCTCATAACCCATTCATCGCACATACCAGTTATCAGAAGCATTTTCTTCTTAAAATAAGGAGTATTCGGTGGCTTGGTGTATACTTTGTCCACCTGGAACCTCGGGCAATGAATCAAGGCATGGTACTCCTCTATAGTAGGTGTCAGGTCCACTCGGCTAAATGTAAAACATCTATATGCGGGGTTCCAGAACTGAGCCAGAGCTTTAAACAGATTCCGGTCAATCGGGATATCAAGGAGATGTGAAATGTCTCCATAGAGTTGATAAAACAACTTCTTATCAGATATTTCTCATCTTCCCCAAATCTCTTTCAGCTCATTTAGATCATTCTGACGAACGTTGATGTGAGTATACCCATTCAGCTTTGACATATACCCCGGCAATAAACTATCTCCATTTGTCAACTGGGACTACTCGGACTATCTCAAGACATCTGCATTGTCCTCTACCTCTTTTTGAATCATCTGTTCTATATTACTAGTCTTCTATATGGACATCGGTCATAGATCAACACCAATGAGATGAATAGTGCAATGCAAGATGAGGACAAAGTAAACAAAAAGAAAGAAAATCGATCAGTAATCATAAATGAATTAATTAAAACATAATTTAATTTATCGATAAAACCTACCCTACATGATGTCTATCCCATCATGCTTTAATAGATCCTACCCAAACATGATTTCTACCCACATGCTTCATTTATAGAACATCCTAACCTCATGCTGTCTAGTTCACATACTTATCCAAGAAATTAAACCTAACTGCATGATCTCTAGTTCACATATATTTATTCAAAAAATTAAAATTATACTAGATAATGATTATATAAGCTTTTCTTTGTGTACTCTCCTCACAGGATGATATGGTCTGGGTAAGGTCGTATTTAGGTTATAAGTTTACTATATGCTAGGTTCGATTCTAAAGTAAAAGGTCCTTGAATTATCCTTTGTCGGCGCCCCTTGGGCTACCGAACCCTCCATCCTGGCCCATCACAGGCTTTCGGATCGAGTTCAATTCGAGGGGACACACTTCCTTATATCATTGCGGAGGTGAAAACCTCACGAAGATCATAAGTTGTGAGCCCAAAGAGCATTTCACTATTCCGCACGGAGGTGAAAACCACACGAGGGAGTAGTTACTTACTCCAACTTAAATAGGACGGAGCGGGATTTTAGCTCATGTTATGCAAATGTAGTTGTGCAATGTGTGAGAAAAAGTGAAAAACAAAGCAAACAACACTGAACAGTAAACTCAAGACCCTGAACAATTATTTAATATGAAAACATTAGCAAACAAATCAGTACAACTATTTAGTGGTTAACCAAATTAAGAGTCAAAATGCAAACAAAACTTATTTAAAACTAAACAAGTGATCAAAAACCATAATAGAACGAACTTGTAATTTTATTTGCAAAGACAATTTATTAATCAACTAAAGGCCTGAATCTCTAAAAATGTCCCCAGCGGATTCGCCAAGCTGTCGAAACGGTCTTTTACCCGAAGGGGAAAGGGGTAGTCCCGCTTCGAAAATGATTTTAGTGTGATAAATTTGTGATAAAAACGTGGTTCACGGAGTCGCCACCAATCTTTGATTATGATGTGATTGGGCACCTAAAATTATATTTGTCATTTTAATAAAATATTAATTTTAATTAAAAAGACAAACTTAGGGTTTGTGTTACCAAAATTTAAGTTCGGGAGTCGGTTACGTGTGGGAAATGATTAGTACCCCCACAACGTCCTAAATCGGTACCTAGTCGATTAATTAATTGTATGCAATAAAATGTACAAGCTCGAGTTTGATTTAATTTAAGATCCCCTAAAATAACATTTTTTGAAATTTTGAATGAAAGATAATAATATTTAATTATTTCTTATCTAGAAGAACTGATTTATCATACCTTGAAGCAATCGATTCTTACTACAATTGAAATAAGAAATATTAAAATTTCATTCTAAATTTCAAAATAATAATACCCAAAATAATTTTTAGAGAGAAAATAATAATATTTAATTAATTCCGATCGAACATTATTATTTTGAAAACCCTTTGAAAAAACATGCAAAAGTCAAACAAATTTAAAAAATCTATCAAACAATTGATTAATTATTTATTTTTCCAATATTTAATGAGAACAAGGATATTCAATTAATTAAATATCTCGAGACGAGACTACAAATTTGATATAACTATCTTTTCTCGATGAATTTAATTAGAAGAATATGATCTTTTCCTCAATCCCCGAATTTTAAAAATGGATTCGATTTAATTGGTGTTACTTGACGGGATATACTTTCGTTTTAAAATTATCGAAAGTAACTTTCTTATACGTTAAGACAGTTACTTTACGATAATATTAAAACGATCGAATATTACCCTTAATCAAATTATTTTGATTTGAGTCAATTAAAAGGATATCATGCAAATTAATTAAAATAGAACCTAGACCGATATACATCAAATCGTATATTTAGCATACCCTAAAAAATAATAATACAATTAATATATATATATATATATATATATATATAAACAGTACAGTAAAAATATATATATATATATATATATATATATATATATATATATATATATAGTTCCAACAAAAAGGACAATGTGTAAAGGCTCAAATATATTAAGTATAGATATACATATATTATTTAGTACACACATGAAATATGATAACAAAAATATATATGAAAAATGTGTTTACTACATATATATATGTATGTAAACCCGTAAATATGGGAATAAAAACATAACTTATATATACGTAATATATATACACTAATATATCATGAAATTTAGGCATAATTCAAGAAATGTATTTAAAATGTATATAAAAAGTGAAACGAAAATTTAATTGAAAATTATATAAAAGGCATTTTATTCATATGGAAAGCATTTAATATAAAAATAAAAGTATAACCATATATCGTATATAACAACATATTCACACAAAAATAATCAATAATATATATATATTATATGCCAGAAAATTAATATATACAAAGAATAAAAATACACATAAGCATAACATATACACGTATATTTATTATAACACAATACTATATAAAAACATATAAACAAATATAAACTAAATAGTAAGCACACAATATATATATACGTATACTAACAAATTTATAAATCATTATTGCTTAATATTAAAAATAATAACTACATAATACATATTCAAACATAGAAACACTACTTATTTAAGTAAACATGTAATATAAATGGGATATTCAAACAACATAAATGCAACAATATATGTATATAAACAAGTCATTTATTAGGTAGAATTATAAAAGGCAGATTCATATTTATGCTTGATTTATGACACCAAATAATTCTATCAAAAAAAAAAACGTTTAAGCCAAACCAATAAATAATCAAGGGTTGAAATACAAGACATGTTAAAGTTAAGGGGACTAAACTGAGATTTTACCCAAATACATTAAGGCATATACGAAAATGGCTAAATTTTGAAATCAGTCCCTACAGGTGACTGTTTTGTAAAACACGGGGAAACCTAGAGGGGTTTATGTTGTAGTTTTACCCTTAATTTCATCTATATATACCACTAATTTTATTTTTTTTGGGCTCGGCCGACCAACTGTCGGCCACTGTGAGCCACCGTCGAATTTCGTCCGGCCATTGCTCCAGCCATCGCACATGGTGGCCAGAATTCTCAAAAGCAACCAAATCACCCCCTTTTTTTTATAGATCTAACCCCATAGGTGTTTATCTTAGGCTAAAACACCCAAAAAAACCACAAAACGAGCCCCAAACCGAGCTCCGACCCTTTGGTTCTTATGCACTTCGGCTACCGTCCGATGAAGATTCGATGACTCAGGTAAATTCCTTCCTTTAAACTTCCGGTTTTCTCTATTTTTACATGCAAAGTTTCGGTCTTTTTGTTTTATTTATACAAGTTTTTATTTTTCATTCAAACCTATGTATGAAAAATACAAAAATAAAATAAAAATGATACCTTTCGAATGCTATTGAAAACTTTCTGATTTATTGCTTTGTATTTTGTTTCTGAAAAACTCCGAATAGGTCCAACTCTCTTTATTACATTGTTCAACGGGATTTTATACCCATTTTTTTACAAGGCTAAATTTGAGGCCGAACAACCACCATCTGTGGTGGTCAACAGTGGCCGACAGTGGCATCCGACCACCTTCAGCTTTTTTTTAATGACGTTATAGAGATAACAGGAGAGTGAGCAAAATAATGCAATTTGAAAAGTTTAGTGAGCAAATTAGAAAAATTTAAAGTTGGGTAAGGAAAATAGGAGAGAGAGTGTAGTTAACTAAGGTTCGGTGTAATTTATCCATATTTTTAATATGAATTGTCAAAAGGATTTATCAAACCATAAGATAAGCTCTGTCGTATCTTAATCATGGCCAATGTGACGTGCAACTAGTCTCAGACAGAGATCTTTAGTATAAAGGAACCAGTAAACTACAATTGCAGAGTTGATCACATAGCACTAGCGTGTTCCACTTTAACTTAACCAAAAGCTCCCTCTGATTGAATCTGTGAGAGCCTTGCCTGACAAAAAAAGGCCAAATACAGAAGTTTTTTGACAGGCCTTTGGTTTCCAGTTTCATAAGAGTGATTCCAAATAAAAGAAAATTCCAAATAATACCACATTTTAAAAGACATTTGTCCGCTTGTTTCTTTTCCTGCTATTCCCATCTCCAGCCTTGTTAATAAGCTTGAAGTTAATAACATTACCGGTGTTGGGAATGTGCTGAAACAAAATGGTATCACTGATTTCTAGTTTGTTATCTTTCACAAACGTGGACCATCCGGCACCTAGACAAACATTTGATTTTGAATCCACCAGGACTTTTAATGGCCACGTCCTCCCGTAGGAGTCCTTCAGCACCGTGCTCCGCTTCTCTGTCAAGCCCATTTCTTCAACGAAACCTCTTGGAACAGACTGAGGTTTAAGAAAATGTATATAATGATGTTGAAACTTGAAACAAAAAAACAGCTTTTAGTTAAGAAATAAAAATCAGGTGGTGGTTCTTACAATACTGTACTCCTGGTATTTCTTCAAAACCACAGCAAATGAAGCAGAAGCTTGCTCCGTGATTATCTCATCGTTCGGTGTAACATCTCTCACCCCTCCAATGTTTACACCTAAATCAAGCATGGATGATTGAAATGAAATGAGACTATTAAAAGATAAGAAAATCGAAGTGTTCATATATGAAATTGAAGTTAAAAGACCTTTGGATCTCGTCGAACTTGGAGATGGAGGTCGACCTCTTCCTCGTTTAGCAGCAAGCCTGGTGCTCTTTCCGGAGATATCAGTTTGCTTGTTAACAATCTGGACGTGAACTACATTGCCCGTATTTGGAAAGTGCTGAAACCGAAGCGTATCTCCAACAACTATTCCATGTTCATGAACAAAGTGGGACCATCCGCCGCCGAAGCGACACTGGCTACCATCCGTAGTGTTTATTGGCCACATGTCGCCTCTTGGGCCCTTAACCATCGTTATGTTTTGCTTTCCCAAGCCTGCTTCTTTGGCGAAACGTCTCGGAATAAACTGAAATTGGTAATAGATAGATAGATAGATGAAGTATAAAGCAATTAACACCATTAGATAAGTATAGTTGTTCTTACGGCATAGTATTTCTGATAATCCTTCACAACCGTTGTGAAAGAAACATGCTTCGGGGCTACTTCTGATACAAACTCAACCTCCTGCCTCACATTTCTCTCGCCTAAACACGTTTTATAATGAAACATTGAAATGATTAGTAAAACAAAAACTAATATTAAGAGGTATAAATAAAATGAAAAAGTTGCCTCACGAGAAACTGGTCTTGCGTCCTTGGGGACTGAAGAAGATTTCTTGCTTAATGTTTCTTCATTTTGTGTGTTTATAGCCGGTGGTCGACCCCTCCCTCGCTTAGCAGTAAGAGTGACGTTCTTTTCGCATGCGGTTCGGTTGTAAATGATCACGTCGAACGTTGAACTATCGACCAAAAAGAAAACTAGAAAATCCCCTGTTTCCAGGCAATGATGTTTGGCAAATTTTGTCCAGCCACCGGTGAAGAAGTATTTTCCTTGCTCTGCTTGGACTCTAACCCGCCATAAGCTCCTTGAGTCGGAATGCAAGGTGAACATAGAGGGGACTTTTCCTTTGAAAATATACTTGACAAAGGTCGGCGGAATTCTCTGAGGAAAAAAAAGAGGAAAGGAAAGACGGCATTTATTAATCATATACATAAACCTCCGGCTCTCAAAAAATGCCTGTTGGAAGACTTACCAATTTGTTGCCAAAATCTCCTATGGCAACCTTGAAGAAAGACGGACTGCGTTTTGGATTCTTGGGCATACTCAGAGTTCAATTACTGCTTTGCTTGGTTCAACACAAAAAAAGGGAGAATGGAAGGAAAATGGGAGGGCAGAGGCTATGTTGCATTGATTACAGTAGATATCTTATACTCAAGAGTTCAATTAGTGAATTGGGTTTGCAAGAACTGTTGTATGGATATTAGAATTGAATAAATCGTCTGCCTATTGAAAGGACTTGACCGTTCATGTTAGATTTGTGTTGGGATTTACAATGATGTTTTGTACACTGCAAGATTATAGGCGTTTTTCCAACAAAACAAAAAATCACCCTAACCCTATATATTTCCATATCAGACAATTTTCAGATTATATTTCCCGATCTAACACCCTTCGCAGGAAGGCACGTCCCTGCACTGCGCTTTACGCCACGTGATCGAAGTCGCGCCTCCTGCACCGCCCCTTACCCTCAATGTGTATAAAATCCGAATATTAATTTTATAAATATTTTTAAAGAGATACCAAATTTGTAATTAATATCTATTATGGTGATATTTGTGTAAAATCGTCAGCATTATTTATCCTTGGTTTTGAATTGTGCATAACAGCCCACACCTCGCCACTTGTGCCATTTGCAAGTTTTATTTTATCCTTTTTCAGCCTCAAATTCGAATTCATATTATTTATATTACACTACCTAAATATTTTACAAGTAATTAAATATTGGTTTATTTCATCAAGTTTCTTTTTTTATTATAATAGAAGCATGTCAAGTTATTTGCCCACCTTATAATTTGATTTAAATAATATCTAATTAAAATGAAATTTCAATAATTCAAAGGGTAAATTATAAAATTTTTGGATGATAACAACTTATAAAATTTTAGGATACGAAAATAGTTTATCAATTAAAAATATCTAAAAGATTAGTTCAGGGATATAGAGCCCAAGCTAATAAAAGAATGTTCTAGAATTGGTTTAGGGTCAAATTTTTTAAACTTTGACTCATTATTATTAAAATTTTATTATTGATAAAAACATAAAAATATATTTCAGAAACCTTTAATCAATATAATTTTGAAATATTTATTTTATACAATTTATTTTATTTTTTTAATGTAATTTTTAAAGTTTAAATTTTTTTACTTTTAAAAATCCAATAATGAATATATTTAGTGGAACGTAGGTAATATTACTTAAAATTTTATTTAATTTGAATTGTTGAAATCAAAACTAAAGTAAATAGATCATTGAAACTAAATAAAGTGAAATAAAAAAATAGATTTAAACATGTTCGTCTTATTTAGTTAATTGTTTTTTTATTTATTCATCCCTAACAGAAGTAAAGTATCAATGTATGTCAAATAAAAAAATGACTAAATTTAAAATCGAACATAGTAGAGTAACCAAAACCAATATTTAATCTATTATATCATATATCCAAAGCCTAAGCATTGGAAATGGCATACGTGGCAAGGTAGGGATGTCTGCACAATTCAAAACTAAGAATAAATAATTCTGATGTTTTTGCATAAATGTCATCATAATAGAAATTATTTATGAATTTGGCATCCGTTTAAAAATATTTATAAAACTAACACTCAATTTTTTATACATTGAATAAAGCGCGGTGCAGGGGCGATTATGTGGCGTAAAGCGCGGTGTAAAGGTGTACCTTCCTATAAAAAAGTATTAGATCGAAAAATATAGTCTGAACAATATATAATCAATAATATTAAATGAAAAAGATGGTTTTTTTTTTTTTTTTTGAGAAAAACGCCAATATTATAGCATGGGTTTCTCACTTTTTTCAAGGCGGATTTTTGGGTTGATCCCTGCAGAGCCATTTCAAAAGCATATGACAACAAAACAGAGCAGGCGTGAGCTTGATTAGGAAAAAATTTTGATTCTGTCGGAGAGTTCTATGGAATACAAGTATCAGTATCATCAGTATCATCAGTATCATCAGTATCAGAGTCAGAATCATAATCAGAAGATATGGTCTTCTTTTGTTCATAGAATCCGGCCTTTTTTGTTTATACTATTACAGCATTTCCCATTGAATTGCTTTCCCAGTTTCTAAAAACGTTAAATCGATTTGACTTGAGCTTTAGAGACAACAACATCGACGTCCTCTCCACCTGCTTAAAACTCGTCCATGAAAAAGTAAACCCAAATCCATTAAAGTAAAATGTTAGTGGGCAAAGCTCATGAAAGCTGCTTATCCAAATTCAACCCAACCCTCAATAACACTATTCTCGTCGGCATAACCAAAAGCTACTAAGCCTAAAATATTCTTCGTGAAAGAACCCGGATTTTGTTTTGTATGGTAAAGCTTCGTCTTCAACCAGTTCTGAGAAATTAATAAATGTGAACATTCACATCACAAGTCTCATTGCCTGCTTTTAGTTTGCTAGATTATGTATTTATTATATTTTCTATGCAGTCTTAATTTGCTTGTATTTCCCCAGATTTGTGTGATAGCAACCATCCGATAGTACTTAATTTAATTACAGATACAGATGTCTTCAGTGCTAAGAATCAGCTTTGAAGATTACTTTCTGAAGGGCAATGGAGGCATAAGTTGGCTTTTGGCATTCCATTCTATGATTCTGCCATTGATCTTATGCAATGCATGGAAGCTGGACAAGTGGGGGCTTTAATGCTTTTATCTCTTCTCTGGCCAAACTATAGGATAATCAAGATGATTGTTTTCTTTAGGTTGTGGTGGTGGGTGGCCCTACTCGAGTGGTTCAATCGTTGTAAACCAGCCAATTGAATGAAGACAGAGATAAAGCCAGAATCATAAATCCAATTATCTGGCCATGTTTCGTTATCTATAAATGTCATTGTACCTTATCCCCTTGTTGATAATAATAAAACTCAAGAGGATGATGAAATGCAAAATCTTCCATATCTAAACAGGTTTAACTGGTGGCCAACTGCATTTTCAATTAGATGAAGTTTGTCAACGTTTCCCCATCATCAACCACCTTGTACAAGGCACCTGTATAAGACAGCTTGCCTACAAGATACCATACGGTGATTTTGTTCCATTTCTAGGAAAAAGTAGTCTTAAAAATCATGATTTCAGGTTATGGAAAAGATGTTTGCAGTGCCATTTTTATACCCTACCCTACCAACTTTATTTTTTAATAAAAAAGAAAAGAGAAAGAAACCCACTAAGTTTCTTTTTTCTCTTCTTTCTCCCCAGAAGTTGAACTTGGTATCCTGAAAAATGAAAACCAAAAGAAAGAGAAGAATGATGACATTGATACGTAACTTTGGGCATTACATCTTATGGGGAACAAAACTCAGTGGGTATGGCCCAACCTTTGGTGATTACAAGTTGGAAAAGGAAATGCAACACACTCATGAATCAGTCCACCTTTGAATTGTCTGACCAAGTAAATTCAGTTTCATGATGAGGCTTTGATATCGCATCATCCAATTCTTGTTCAACGTCAAACTAATTCTATCATGTCTATCCAAGGGGAAAAGCATGCTGATTTAGGAGGTTGTTATGGTTTATTGAACTTTAACCTAATCCTTTGTGAGGATTGGCTGAAAAGGTTTCACCCACCAGCATCTACCTCATACTTTGCCACCAAAACTTAATTTGGTATATAGCCAACAAAAATTTCTAACTTCCAACTAAGTTCAGCAGGAATCAATTCATCATTCAAGACCTCCTGTTCAGATCACTTTAAAGCTAGTCTATCTTGACCAAAATGAAATGTAAAAATGGTTCAATAACAAGAAATGGGCAAATCAGAATCAAGAGTGAATGTATTTGAACTGCATAGAGGTAAAATTAGCTACTGCTTTTTACAGAGAGGAGGATTGAAGAATGTGTATAAAACAAAAGCAGAGATCCTAAATGAGGTCATGGTGACTTCCAAAAGGGTACATATCTCTAAAAACAACTCCACAATGACCCCAAGAGGGGGGAACAAAAAGAAGACATTTTCAAGCAACAACAAACATGAATTGACAAATTCACCCGCTTACATCTAAGAGTCTTGAGGAAGAGCAAGCCATGCATATACTACTAGTACCTGCAAAATCCTCTTCAGGGCCTTCCAAATCTACCACTCAGACTCCTGGATTGTTTTGCAAATGATATTTGGATTGCTCGAGTTGAGAAGTTATGTCTCTGGTTCTTCCTCTGCAACAGTTGGGAGTGTACCCTCTCTGATAAATGCTGGGTTAAGGAACTTTGCCACAAAAGCCCACAATTTATAGACATCCTCAAAATTAGTCAGGAAACTGAGAGATGCTGTGACAACCTCAACTCTTATGAACCCACTTTTGGCATCGTGTCTCCCATTTTCCATTGGTTGGCACAGGGTAGTATCGTTGAGGTTCAGAGCTCCTTGCTGCTGTCGTTGATTATCTAATATCCGTATGTGATTGAGGAAACCAATACCAAGAGAAATACCTTCTCTTTCAGCCAACTTCTGTACAATCTCTGGATTGATGAGACCCTTGTTTCTATCCCTCACATTAAACGCCACAGCTGCACCCCTTTCGTATTTTATTTTTGGGCCATAAATGTAAACAAGATTCACTCCGCTATCTCCATCTGGATTAGGTAATTTGAGCTGCAGTAATGAGGTCACAAGCCAATTAATCAAAAACCTTAATCTAAGAGTTGTTTTATTGAGCCCCAACATATTAACATGATCAAGATGCTGACATATGATCTCAGGCTCTCTCCTGTCCCAGTCTTGTCCGTCACCATATTCTCCATCACTGGTATAATCCTCATCATCAAGGCTGGTCACAGACACTTCTGGCTCTAAAGTATGTCTCAGGTGCTCTTTACGGGTATCCTCTGTGCTAAAGGATACCCTTCTTCCCCTGCTTGGATGATCATCTTCTAGCCCCAAAAATCTGCTACCATTGTATTTGTTTCCTTCCCTCCTCCCCAACAACCTAAATTCACCTTCAGTTTCTCTTCTAATGGCACTCTCTTTAATCTCCGAGGCAATTTCAGAAGTTGAGCCATTTCCTAGGCCATTATTCTGAAAGACAGAAGAATTATTGAGGCGAGCTCCATTTATTGCAGAACCAGATACAGACCCAACAGCCAGTGCATTGCTGTTACTCTGTTCTTCCTCTATTTCCAAAACACGTGTATGATCTGAAGCCTTCTTATGATTGTGCGATCTGCCATTCATTCCAGCAAATTGTCCTTCTTCAGAGATCTCCTTCACACGGTCCAGTTCATGTGAAACTGATAAAACAGCAGCATCAAAGGATAATACATGATCATCATGCCCCAGGTTAGCATCTTTATCATCGGATATTGGGCTTCCATAAATCTTTGTTGTTGGCTTCGGAGAGAGCTGCTTGTGGTTCTTCCTGCCACTAAACCAAAAAGGAGGAATGGGCGAGGCTATTTTCGGTTTGTTCAACTGACCCGCATTGTCAGACCCCAATGGACTCTGACCCAAATCAATCCAGAATGAGTTGTCTGATGACTCGTCTTCGCTAAAGACAGGGCTCTTCATCACTTCTCCTACAGATATGCTCTCAGTTTCTTCAAATATGGTGCTCGCTCCATCTCTATCAGAACTATTGTCTTGATCCATTTCTGTCTCAAATACATCCCTGACCTGAGCAGATGTGTAGGCACCAGAAAAGGCAGGCAACTGTGAACCTAGACGGCTCTCAGAGGGCTTATCACCATTCGCACCAACTTCTTTGTCCTCAATTCCACCCAATCCATCAAGGCCATCTACAGAGTCACTCAGATAGAGAGGATACTCGGGGGTAATCTTCACAATTCCAGAACCAGTGAATCCCGACTGGTTCTGAAGGCTTCCCATGACCGACTTTTTTATAAGAAGGCACCCAAAGCCAGTAGGATCATATCCAAACACCCTATAGAATGATGTGATAATGAAATCTGGTCGAAACAAGGACAGGCCAAGTGAATCCATGTCTTTAGGACCCAATGACCCAGCATCAAGCAAGACATGCCAATTGTTCTGTTGAGCCAATGCCATCCACTGATATGAATACTTAGCCCCCGTTACTCTAGACTGTACTGGGAAAACAAAAAGACCAACTGCAGAATCCTTCTTCCTCTTCTTTTTATTCGAAATCCTCTTCCTCAAATCGGTAGAACAAAGCTTAAGAGTTGGCCATTTAAACCAAGCACTGTTCACTTTTGCGCCCTTTTCCCTAGCACTCTGCGCCATCCAATTCACCGATTGGCTCTCGTAATCAAACATGGTCAACAATTTCTTATTTGTGTGAAAAGGATACGAGTCAGCCAGCAACTTAAACGCAGATCCCCTGCTTACAGTAAACACAAGGCCATACTCATGTTCGGGAATATTCAAATAATCCATGATCCTACTCTTCAAGTCATATTCCACGGTGCCTTTCTCAGCACCACCATAGAGTGCATGGTTACTCAAATTTGCAGTTATCTCAGACAAGCTAAATGTAGAAGACTCCCAGTAATGCAAAGTTTGAACATAAGAGAAAAGCCCAAATCCACAATAATCAAGGCATACCTTTGGCGACAGATGCGCATACTCATCTGATCTGAGCTGATCAATCTTCTCCGATGACTGGTATTTTGGGTACATTGTGAGGAACTTATTGAAAGCCTCATGGAGATCGGGGATAGAATCTTCACTCTCAAATATACGCTCGGCTGCTAGAGCAGTGGCTCGCAAGAATTCACGCTGAGCTTGAAGTCTTGCAAGGGACCTTGATCGCCCCAAGCTCTCATCTTGCTTGGGTAGAGAATCAGATTCCATATCTTGGGACTTGAACAAAGACCCATCTTCAGATGCTTCTTCAAGAGCTTCCCGGAGCTTGTTCTCATGTAGTCTACGGAGAACCGAAGGATTCTTTTTTATTTCAGCCACTGATTCAGACCCATCTCTTCTCTTGCTGCTCTTCTTGTCTAAGAGCAGAGCAGCACAGTGAGATATGGGTTTCCACAGTGAGAGATGCATCAAAGCGGCAACACTTGAAAACCCAGAAACAAAACCAGCTCAAAATTCGCCACAAAAAAATAGATTTTAACACATCCAACAAAAATCCCTTTTTTCCCCTAATGAAATGGGTTCGACTTTCAAAACCTAAATGGAGGAATCTTGTACCAGATCAAGAAAGCCCTAAATTCTGCTAAAAGGGACTTCAATTCAGAGAGAAACAACACACAAGGAACCAAAAAACTGATGAAGAGGAAAGAAATACCACAGAGAATCTCAGGCTCCGACCTGAGACAAATAGCATCTCATGATCAGTTCGAAAAAGAAAAGCTTTTCAGGTGCAAAACGCACAGAGAAGAACCCAGAATTGGAAGTATTCAAGAAAGTCAAAATCCCCTTTTTTTAAGAAAAACGTACAAGGACAAAAATATGCAAGGGAACCCAATGAAGAGACTAACGCAGTCAAAGGCTGAACAAACTGAAAGCCCTAGAACACTCAAAACCCAGATCCCAAAGATTAACAAGCAAAACTCTAAACAAAGAGGACGCTTGAAAAAATAATAATCAGAAAGGTTTTAACAGGAACAAAACATGGCATATAAAGATCACTTCTTCAAAACCAAAATCCACACCTCCATTAAACAGCTCTCTCTCTCTCTATTTCTATCTCTCTTAACTTCAACACAAATAAAAGCAAGCTAACCCCTTCACATCAAATGCACATTTACTAAGGGGGAAGCGGTAAATCTAAAATGATACATACAACCAGAATTGATAACTCACTTCAGTGTTTTTCTCTCTTTCTTCCACTTTCTCTCTCTTTCTTCCACTTTCTCTCTCCAAGATCTTCCCAAAATTATTTTTTAAAAAAAGCAAATAATAACCCCTCGCCCCCTTAACAAACAAAGATAAAAGATGGATTTCACAAATCAAATGGAAGTGTATGTTTGTTACTGTGTTAATATTTATCTGTTTAATTTCTTTTTATAGATTAATAAAAGCTTCTTCTTTTTTGGGTTGAGGTGGGTGGGGCCTAATAAAGAAAAAGACCTATTGCTCAAGAACTCTTTGGTAGAAGTCAAAAAATAAGCTGGCTTGTAAAAGCTGTTTTCTGTCCAACTAAGCAACTAAAAAGTCCACCTCTTCCCCATCCTCCATCCGTTATTTTACATTTAATTCTCACCCATTTTCTATTTCAAAAAAAAAATCTTAGCCTTCTCAGCTAAACTATATTTGACTTAACACAAGTGGCCCAAAATCAAAATACATTCTTTTTTCTGGCAAATAGGTGTGTTCCATACATCAGATTCGAGTATTTTGTTTGTGATTATAATCTTATTTTAATGATAATCTAAATTGAGATCATATCATAAGATGCTGTGCAAAATCTTTATATCCCAGTTTTTGCATTGCAAAAAAACTCAAGCAAGATATGGAAAATCTTGAAGCTTTTAATTAGTTAGGTTTTTCTGGGGGCGATGGAAAAGGTAATCCTTGCTTTTTTGCACCATGTGATGAATGTTTATTTGAATTTTGATCATGGGCCATGTGTAAAGATTATTTAAGCTTTTTCTGAAAGATGACAAAAATATATATTTGCAATGGATTAAGACTCATGCTGCCATTTAAAGGCACATCAAGTTGGATACAGGTTTAATTCTACAAACTTGTAGTTGTCTTTTTTCACAGTGGGAAAACAACAACAACAACAATCAAAATGCAAGAGGATCACCAGTCACCACTCCCAGTTCTCCATTAAATTTCTAAAACCTCTTCTGATTTTGATTAATTAAGATGGTTAATCATTTTTTCATATTTATCTCTGGTGGTATTTTTTAAAACGCCAATTGTTCAGTAAATTTCTTTGATATTAAGTTTCAGCCAAAAGAGCATTTCTTTTAAGCTAGCTTTTGCCAAACTCCTTGGCATTTATATTAATTGCCAAGCTTTTGTATACTTAATAACACAAAAATACTATTATTTGGGATTTATGGACATCATGTATATATTTGTGTGTGCATACAGCATTTAATGGATGCACAGTTATGGAATCCCTATTAATTATGTTAGTTGACGTGAGGCTCACGCCCCTGCTGATAGGAAAATTATCATTTTAATTTTTCTGAAATATTATGTGCCTTGTGTTTCGGGTGTTGGTAGTTTAGTATATATTCCCACAATCTTAATTTGAAGAAACTGACTTAAAACACATATCATTTTAAAAAAATGGTAATTTTTATCCAACTGAGTACTAAATTATAATATTATGAGTTATTTCATAAAATTATAATGGCATTATTTCTCCCCTCTCCCCCCCCCCATATATATATATATATGATTTTGTTGAAAATAGATGGTGAAAAAAAATAAGTCAAACTCAACTATTTATTTTCACTCATCCAACGGTTCTAAATTTATGTAAAACTAAAAAGTTTTACATTATGTAAGTGGATCATAACCCTATATATACGGATAGCTAGATAGATGTGGTATAAATTTGGTAATTGGTGTTTTTTTATATTTTTTTTATTTTTCTCATAATTAAGGGTCTAATTGAATAAAAAAATTTGTTGAAGGGTTTAATTGATTTTACAAAAAAAAATTCTTAGTTATTTGTCGAAGAGGCATATGAGATAAAATGATCATCTCAATTATAACTAAAGGATTTAACTGAATATAGAAAATTATCAAATGATATATTTGATTAAATTTTATAACTAAAGGATTTAACTGAATATTGAAAATGTTTAAGTAATTATTTTAACAATAAACCTATTATATCATAAATAAACATATTAAATATAATAATGAACAATTATAATCATCATTATCAAAACAGCAAAGCATTATTTTATGTGATGTTTGTTAAGAATGTTTTCTAGATAGTTAATAGTAAAATAATTATAAAAAATTGGATAAAAAATTTCGTTAATAAACAAATGATAAAAAAAGACAAAACACATAGGACGCTGCCTTTGGATTCCCTCTCCTCAATAGCCCGACCAATGCACTAAACCCAATAACCTACCTCAAAAGTAAAAGGCCGATTAGCTAATATTACATTTTTCCCCTTTCAAAACTGGAATGTTAAGATTAAATATAATAGTAGTAATTTCATTGGAATGAAATATTTCGAAAAAATAAAATGAAAAAAAACGAAATCTTAGTAGTAAAGTTTGAACATAAATTATATAACAATAATTAAATATTTCATTGTTTTTGTTACACTGAACTTGGATATGTAATATTTATGTCAAATATAGTTTCGTCTTTAACTAAATGTTATAGACATAGACGAACATAAAATTTTATGTTTGGATGGTAAATTTTTAAAATTTTAAGATAGAATAAATTTGTGAAATTTTAGGAGAACAAAAATAAAATTTTAATAAATAAATAAATAAATAAATTTAAAATATATAATAATTTTAAATTTTCATAAGACAATTATTTCTATCCGTATCCATCCATAGTTCCAGAAAACAAACGGAATTTCAAAGTCAAACCTTATATGGGATTAAAACTCTATATGATGAAGTAATTGAATCTATTATAAAAGAAAAAATTGTTTTTCAAATGTTTTTTTAAAATGGAATTTATGAAAGGAAAATGATCCCTCGGCCACGTGCAATACTTTAGTTTGATTATTATTTGTCAAAGCCAGCCTATAATGATCATGAAGCATGACCCATGATTAGTCAACTATCTTTTCGAAAGTGCCAAAATACCCTTACACCACCCATTCAAATGAGCCTAAGATCATCATCATCATTGATGAGACTTCCAATGTTTCTCATGGGTTGTGTCCTTTTGAGGGAATGCAATTCTTACTGTACCTAGGGATGCAAGTAATTATATAGGTTTCAGTCGGATCGGATAAAATTGGATACATGTCAATTCAGGTTGAGTTGACATCAGATCCAGATCGAGTTCAAGTCAGGTCAAAGTAATTCAAGTTATTTTCAGGTTGATTTGACATCAGATCCGGATCGGGTTCATGTCAGGTCATTTTCAGTTCGGATCGATGTCAGTTCAGGTCCGAAGCAGATAAAGACCAGGTTAATTCAGGTTCAGATGGACTTCATTCGGATCTCGTTCAGATCGGGTCACACCATTGACAGATAAAATTCAGGTCGGATGTTTATCAGATACAAATTGAGTTCATATCAGGTCATTTTTATTTTTGGATTAATTATTTTGTCATCTTTCGTGATTGTTGAATTGCAAGTTGTAATTGTATATGATTTCGAGTAAATTAAAAGAAAAATAAATATTCATGGATCAATTTTGTAAAAAATATAAATTAAAGGACAAAATTGAAGAAATGTAAAATTACAAATAAGATCTTAAAATATAAATTAAACAACACACATAGGTAAGGGACAAAATCAAAATAAATTTAAAATGTGAGGTTTAAATTAATATAAAAAATGACTAAATTAAACACATTTAAAAATTATGAGCCATTTACAAAAATATAAATAAATAACAACTAACAATGGAAGATGCAAATATAAATTTAAGGACTAAATTGAATACATATAAAAGTGAAAGACTTAAAATTGAAATAAATTAAAAAAACACAAAAGGATTAAATCAAAATAAATGTAAAATGTGAAGAAGTAATGAAAAATATAGTAAATTGCATTATTTAAAAAATTGAAAAAATATATAATATATATATATAATATAAGTTTATATATAAATTATATTTATATTATAAACTATATAATTATTATAAGTTATATATATATAAATTATGTTTATGTGAACTATATATATAAACTATGCATATAAACTATATATGTATAAACAATAAAAAGTATATAGTTTATAAAATATTATTTATATATATATATAGTATATGTATAAACTATATATGTATAAACTATATAAAATATATAGTTTATATATTATAATTTATATTAATATAGTATATATATGTATGTATAACTATATATGTAACTTATAGTACATGTATGTATAAACTATGTATAGTATATATAAACCATATAAAGTAAATTACTTATATAGTTTATAGAAACAATATGCATAAACTATATAAATTAATAAATTATATAGTTTATAAGAACCCTAAACCCTAAGCACTAAACCCTAAACCCTAAACCATAAACACTATACATAAACAATAGTTAATATATGTAATGTAACTTATAGTATATGTATACATGTAAACTATATATGTAACTTATAGTACATGTATGTATAAACTATGTATAGTATATATAAACTATGTATATATATAACCTATAGTATATGTATATATACAATCTATTTATATGTTATATAAACTATATATGTAACCTATAATTTATAATCAATAGTTTATATTAGTGTACTATATAGTTTATACTTTATAACCTATAGTATATAATTTATAAATTATAGTTTATATTTATGTACTATATAGTATATATTATTGTTAATTATCTTAACTATAATTTATATTAATATAGTATATAGTTTATAAACTATATTATATTAATATTAATTATATTAACTATAGTTTATAAACTATACTATATAATTTATAAAATATAGTTTATATTAATATTAATGTTATAGACTATATTTTATATTAATATTAATTATAAATTATAAACTATATTATATTAATATAAGTTAATATTAATATTAATTATAATATATAATTATTATAATATTAATTATAAATAGTTAATTAATTAAAATTATATAGGGATGAAATTGAAATAATTTAAAATATAACTATTAAATTGAATCATTAATGTTGGACTAAATTGAATAAAATAAAAAATAGGGGACAACGCTACAATATAAAAGGAAATTAAAAACACACGGATCCAAAAAACCTGACTTGAACGGATAGTTATATAAGGTCAAAATTTTTGTTTTTTCCTCATTTCCACTTT